GAATTCTCTCCCCACATCAGGGCATCTGTCACCTTCACAGCTTTCATTGAATGCTGAACACACATGTCTTTGTCCTGACCTTCAACATGTGAGATATGTGTTTTAAGGACCCACCCTATTCCTATGGTTGTAATCTGTTTTAACTATTGGTAATTTTTGTAACCCACCCTGAATCCTGCTGGTAAAGGGTGGGTAATAAATTTAATTATTATGATATAAAGAGTTAAATAACCTATGAATGAATGAATGAAATATACTTATAGCCAAACTTTCCATTCTCAAGGTGGATTATATTTTATCTTTACAGCAACCCTGTTGGGCAGGTTAGGCTGAGAGGGAGAGAAGGAGCATCTCAAAATCACCCAGTGTGCTTCAAGGCTTAGTGGGGATCTGAACTTTGATCTCCCCATCCTAGTCTAAGCTGGGGATGAGGAACCAATGGTCCTCCAGATGCTGTTGGACTCCAACTCCCATCATCCCTGACCATTGGCCATGTTGACTGAGGCTGACAGGAGTTGGAGACCAACAACCTCAGCAGAACCCTAGGTTTGCTACCCCTAGTCTAGACAGTGCACACTGTTTGTACATGCCTGTATAAACTGTGTATTTGTACAGAGGCTTCTCGGGGTGCATATATCTATCACAAATATCTTACTAAATAGAAAGTATACTATTAATCAAATTACAAACAGGAATTAACACATTTTTGTACACTGCTGTAACTGTCTCCATGGATAATTTATTTGCTAACAGTTCTGTGATGCAGCCAGATACCAAGAATCATTTAATCAGATCTGAAGTCTACTTCCCCTTTATAGATGTACATATAATTTGTATATCTAAACCTCTTTTTTCTCTCTGTGACACCCAAGCTGACATAAATTATCAGGTGGTCTCCCTTTGAGGGGCTTATGAAACCCAGACCCACTCAGCTTCAGCAAGGATTCCTGTATCATCTACTTTCAGAGCATGACCCAGAGAAGATGGGCTAAATGCCACAGACGCCTGTATTATTATTCTAACTGAGTTCCCATGGATGAGGATCTTAGATCTGCCAACATTCTGTCACTCGATTAAGTAGGAATGCTGTTAAGGCAATGGGAGTTTATCAGAGATGCAGGCTGTAACTTCGGTAAATCACTAGAAAATGGTGCCTGGTCCAACAGGATGCTATTGGGGGTCTTTGATGTTGGGAAACAGTGATATTTGTCAAGGGAGAGGTGCTTGGAATAGAAATCAACTGGACACATCACTAAAGCTGGGCAAGGAAGGGGCTTCTCTCTCTCTCTCTCTCTCTCTCTATATATATATATATATTTATTTACTTTACTCTCTATAATTTTGAAGGAGGGAGGAATAGTTCAAAGAAAAGTTAGATAATTTTCTGTCAGACATGAAACTAATAAGGGAGGCAATGTGGTGTAAGTGAGTAGGGTTGACAGACTAGGGCTTGAAAGTTTTGTTTTCAAATCTATGCTTACATGAAGTTTGTTGGGTAGCAGAAGAGGGCAGCTACTCTCATATGCAGCTTGCAGATGCTCCAAGGAGAACTGGATAGCCAAGGTAGGAAACAGGGTTCTGGACCAGATGGGATGTTGGTTTGATCCTTTGGGACTCATCTGACACTGTTGAGTCATTCAACCTGGTCCACTTTATAGAACCCTAGAATTATAGAGCTGGAAGGCACCACATGGGTAATCTAGTCCAACCCCCTGCAGTGCAGGAATCTTTTGCCCAATGTGGGGCTCAAACCCACAACCCTGAGATTAAGAGTCTCATGCTCTACCAACTGAGCTATCCCAGTACATTGTGGAACTGTTGTAAGAAAATCAAAATGGTTGCTGGATGGATAAAGAAATAAATCAGTCAATAAATCAAGAACACTTCCCTGCTTTGCTGAGACTAGGTAGTTCAGTTCTCCTCCAAATCTTCTTTTTGCTGGATAAGAGCAAATCCACACTTACCTTCACTCTGCATTTCTAGGCACAAGTCCAGGTCCTCCAGGTCTGTGTCCAAGTCTCTTCTCTTCTCCCTGGTACTTTCACCACAAAAATCCACTCTTTACCACTGAATCAGAGCAACCAGCAAATCCATGGAAAACCCAAATTGCCGTTTGCTCCAATTTAGTGGGAAAGGACAGCTTTTCTGGGGGAAAGTGGCAGAGAGCGGGGTGGGGAGGCAGTCAGACACGGACCAGGAAAGCATGGACATGTGCCTAGACAGCATGGGACAGAAGGTAAATGTGGATGAGTCCTAAGTTTGTAGCAATGGTGGCAGTGAAGAAGACTTATTTCTTCCACTATTGCCTCTGTGATGCACCACCCAGAAGCTTTCTCTAGAGTGGAAAATGTCTGTTGGGTGCAGATATGAAGGAGCAACATCTCAAAACCCTTGAGGCATAGCTCTGATGCACCAGTAGTGAGCCTATCTAGGTTCCCTTCATCCTGATGAAGTTCCTTCAGAGTTTTTATTGCAGTCTCTCCCTTCTGCCTGGTGGATTCAATGAACCATCCCTCTTACTCTCCTTGGTGGCCACCTCCTGTGGAGATGCTGCTAGCTCTCCTGCTTGGCCTCTACAACATGTGCAGCCACAACTCACCATTGCAGAGGGACAAGCTCCTGCAGGGTCTTTGACCGTTTGGTAATGAACCTTTGTGGTCTGTATTTTCTAATCCTATTTTGCACTGGTGTACAGGTTCTATTTTTAATGTTGCTATTTTTAATTATTCTTAATAAATTTACCTCTTTAACACTGGTGTGATTTCTTAGTAAAAGTCTTGGATACTTGGGCCTCTTGTTCAAACTACTACTGAGTAATATTTTATGGGCTTGGAACTTGCAGAGACAGAGAGCCTCAAATTCTTGTCTTGGTCCTCAAGTGGTGTCTGGTATGGACTGGGACTCTCCTGGCTCAGGCTGGTTGGCCTTACAGAAGCGAAGGCATTATTTTACCTTGCAAACTTCTTTTTACCCCTTCTCATTAGGCACAATCTGGTCCAACAAGAATGGTCTCTCAGAGGTTTGGGGGCAGGTTCTTGGCAAGACAACCCCTTTTAAAAAAGTCAAATTTAGCTCCTTTGGTCACAGAAAAGTATCATCTGTCCCTAATTTGCCTTGGGGGGGGGGGCAAAGCAAGTGGTGGCTTCACCACTCCATACATTTTTGGATGATACTGATCCATCTTATTCTCCATTCAGGCATAGGGGTGGAAACAGTTACCCTGGTGGATTTCTTATGCTGGGGTGCACTGTAAAGGATTTAAAGATCACAGCCTTGCAGCCAGTTTACTGTGTCTGTGTGAATTGTCTCCTTTGTGTTGACATTTTTGGTCTGGTACTGCAATTCTGGGAATCTTACCAGTACGGACAAGCATAGAGCCAAATTGCAAATGCTTCTCTGTGAGATGTAGAGAAAATGCATTTGTGAAAGCAGATAAGCTCAACTCCCCCCCCCCCCCCGCTGTGCAATAAACCTTTGGGAGAGCTCATATCATATTTTGCTGAGAAACTATTTCAGTACAGCAAATGATCTAATGTAGCTTGAAGTATTTATAAATGAGCATAAATTAGATTATATTGTACCATCAAAAATACTTTTGCTTTCCTCACACATTAGGCCCAGGATGTATTTATTTATATCTAGATATATATTAGCACTGTTAATGGCATAACCTCAGGCAGGTTGGTGCAAAATTTAATTAGTGCTAAACTGCCTGACACAGCTGAAGCATAAAATTGGCTATTTTCAGGACTTTCCCATTTTAAAGCCCATTTATTGTCTGTTTACAGCTTCTGTTTCTTCTGATTGGCAGAATCATAATCAGGTGATCCAATTCAAAAGAGTCCTGACCTGCCGTGTCTGGCTTTGGATTCTACTGAAAGCTTGTTTGAGCTCAGAATCAGAGTTGCGAATACACCATTCGAGAGTTGACGGCACAATTCACTCCTGTGACTTCTGCAACAAATGAAAATGCCACTCAGTATATTTCTATGGTAACCTTCCAAGAAAATATCTAGCAACAGCATTCCGGTCAACGGATGATCTGCAGGTATGAATTAGGGATTGGAAAGAATGCCATTTTGCTTTCTCTTGGTTTCTCATTTTTCCACATTTCCACATCAGTTTGCAACTAAAAAATAAACTCCCAATGTGTGGCCAGTCAAATGTCCATGGGAAGTTTTCAGGTAGGACCTGAGCACTCTTGCCATTTGGGATTCCCAAGAACCGGTATTCAGAGGCAGTTACAGCTTTCTACAATTTTATTAACTATTTTTAGGGCCTTCTAACGGTTCCCTCATTGTGAGAAGTGAGGCTACAGGGAACCAGACAGAGGGCCTTCTCGGTAGTGGCGCCCGCCCTGTGGAACATCCTTCCATCAGATGTCAAAGAGATAAACAACTACCTGACATTCAGAAGACATCTTAAGGCAGCCCTGTTCAGGGAAGTTTTTAATATGTAACACTGTACTGTTTTTAACACTTGACTGGGAACCGCCCAGAGTGGCTGGGGAAACTCAGCCAGATGGGCGGGGTATAAATAAATTATTATTATTATTATTATTATTATTATTATTATTATTATTACTACTACTACTACTACTACTACAGGTATAGTCCACATTTCTTCAAAGGAGCTCCAGGTGGCTCTTTCCCTCCTCTGAGGGATAATCACTGGCCAAAGGTCACCCACTGACCTTCATGTCTGTGGAAGGAATTTGAACTTGGATCTCTCATGTCCTAGACCAGCACTCATTGATAGCATTATCCATGAATTTGTCTAATCCTCTGTTAATGTCATTCAAGTTGGTGGCCAACTTCAGCATTTACCTAAACTGAAAATTACAAGTTCATATTGCATTTTAGGAGAATTATGGGGTGAACTCTAGACCAAGATCTCACCCATCCATCCAGCAATTGGTTACCAGCAGCAGCCAGCCTCTGAAGCTGGTCCCATTGCTTATCTCCAGGAGATGGTACATCAGGCCAGAACTTTGTTGAAGAAGTCCAAAGTCTTTTGCAGCAAAATGAGCAGTAGGACCCAAATGCTTCAAGACTGGCTTACCACATTTTGAAGTGCAGTAATACACATTATCATGTAAAGAAGGCTTATGTGATATCATTAAGTCCAAAGGAGAAGGGGTATAAGAAAATTAATTACACCAATACACCACTGGGCATAGTTTCCTTTTCACAAACAATATATGAGGTGCTAAACCTGTTCCTGAAGATGGTTAAATGCTTTGCTATTTTAAAAAAATGTGGTGTCCCCCGGGTGTTGCTGGATAGCAGGTGTCAACAGTCCCAGCCAACATAGCCAAAAGTCAGAAATGATGGGGATTGTAGTTCAACAACCCCTGGAGGGCAATGCATTGGCTACCATTTCCATAAGGTAAGAATGGGAAATATAAGTCCACCCTGGAGGCACAGTAGACTTAAATTACAAATGTTAAGAAGAGCCTTGAAGCAGATTACTTTGTCTCAAATATATTTTCTTGGTTTGTTGTTTCTTGCAATCTCCGATTTATCTTTTATTATCACACAGCTACCAATGGCTGAAAGGGTGAATCATTGCATCTATAAACCCTGCAGAAGTTCAGAACGCTGCCTTCTTTTCCATTCATCAGATAGGGAGAGAAGGAGATGCAGCTATAATTTTAAGCTACCAGAACACTGGGGCAAAATAAAGGTTCATTTCCTCCCCAAAAAGTTTTATTTTTGATGTTGGTACAGAAGCAACTCGGATTAGAGTCTCCAGCAATCATCTGACAGGAGTTTCGAAGCTGATGAATATCACTATTGAAATCCTGGTTTAATTTATTAATGATAGCAGTCATTTGTGCAATGCAGTGTGGGATAATATACTTTGGATGTGGTAATTTTCTTTCGTCTTGCCCCTCTCTTTTTACTGCAGAGTATCATTGTCCTCACAAACAGTGCCAATAAATAGTAAGTCTTCTTGATACTGGAAAGCCACTGGAAGTAGTGAAGGCTCATAAATAGAAATAAACCCGGTAAGCAAATTTACAGCCATCCTGGTCGGCAGTGCCTATGATCTACCACCAATTCTACATATATAGCCCAACTGGGTGAACAGTTCAAACTTACTTCAGCCGTGTTGATGGGTGAGTGTCCCCCATTGCATTGGAGAGATAGAGAAGCCCTGCATTGGACCTAGAACACCTCACCACTGCACTGCACTTTTCAGCAGCTGCTGCCAGGCTGTAGCCTAATGGCAGGGCAGGCCCTGTTGGCTGGTGCTGTAGTAAACAACTGCTGCTTTGTTGAATGTGCATTGAACCACGATGTCCAGACTGTAAAGTTCACTGATGGACAATTGGATCCTGTCAGATTTGATTTCTGCCTTGCTACTGTTCCTTTGTAATAAACCTATACACCCTACTTCTTCCCACTTCCCAAACCTTACATACATCACACCATTCTCTTACTGTGCAGCACCCACTCTACTCTACCTAAGTTTCAAAACCTATTAGTGTAGGGGCTGCTGTTTCATTCACACATGTGTTAAGGGGAATATGAGTTGAATGGTTTGGTTAATGTGCTTCTTGTGAACATTCACCAGGCCTTAGGGAGAATGTACAAATACAGTAATCCATTCACAAATTGGGAATTCTACACATTTATTGGTAAACATATATAACCTCCAACAGGCCTTTGGAAATATGCAGATATTGACTGGATTTTGTACATTCTCCAAAATATGCACAGTTCCGGAGGCCTCCCAGGAAATGTGCACAATTCTCTATTCATGAATGGATTATGTCCACATTCTCCATGAGACTTGGTGAACATTCAAATTGGCTGGTTGTTATGCACATTGACTACATGACATCCATTCTGCTTAATGCATGAATGCATGCATGCATGCATTAAAGAAAGAGAATTTCAAAAACCCACTGGGCTGATAGGGACAACAGAGAGTGTTTATTAGAGGGTGGGAAGCAGCTTGTAGAACACATTGAGCTTCATCAAAAGACCTCCAGGCCAGATGAAATGCAACCTTTTACTTTTAACTAGAAAGGCAAAGACTCTCATTAACACATCCTTCACCTTCCAGAGCGAGGAGGCCCCATAACTTCCCCCAGCTAGTGGACAGATGACACAATCATTCCTGCTGCCCCCCCCAAAAAAAGAAGAAGTCCCAAAGCTGGGCACTCTTGTGTCCCCCTTCAAAATGCCACTTCTTAGGAACCTTAGTGGTTGTGTGCTATCCTTCTGCAGAACAGGGACTGTTTTATTGTCACTATATCTGCTATTTTCATGATTTTCAGTCCTGGCTGATAATTTTTGAGAATCTGAAGATGTAGCTCCCTTGATGTTATCCCTCTGCCTAAAATGTTATCTGAATTGCAGTTGTAGGTACATTCTAAATTGTTAGCAAAACAGCATACAGATGAAATGGACTGTTCCATTCTCTGGTCATTAGCTGCTTTTCAACTTTCTAGCAGATCAGTTTACCCATAATATCATATAGCACCTCTTCAAGATATAGGCACATGTCATTTCTATAAATATCCCCATTTGTGCATCCACTTTTTCCTGCACTTCAAATGCATTAAGCTTGGCTCTTTATTCAGAGCTTGCAAGTTAGAAATCTGTTCCATTTACAGTGAAAGTTCTAAAGCCTCCAACTATTAGAGCAATGTCCCCCAAATTTCTGGTTAAGAGTATTTCCCCCCCTCCCTTCTGTATGGAGATGAAGTTCACTTATGAAACCAACAGTGTTTCCTTTTCATGTGTAATGCTAGGCTTTTTATTCCCCACCCCTGTGTTTCCCAGTGAATTACTGATCCAGGCACAGCTCTTACTTGGAAGGATGGAAATATGCAGCAGTGACTCATACAGAGACGGGTGATGAGACTCCTCTGAGGACAGAAAACTCTACAGCTTTCTACATCAGAAAGTGACTAATTGCACCCAGTGAAGAACATTGCCACCCCAGTGGAAGTTGACTGGCAGGAAATGTGGACAACAAGATGAATCACACAGAAGCATAATGACAATATCCACTTTGGGTATGAACACAGGAAGCTGTCTTGTGTTGAGTCAGATTATCACTCCATCTAGCTCAGTATGGTCAACAGTGGGTAGCAATGGATTGCAAGGGTTTCAGACAAGGATGTTTTATCCACACTAGCTAGAAATGTTGGGGCCTGCCCATGAGTTTGGAGTTCGCATCACCATACAATCCTTTCTTAACTTAAATTCCTTCACCCCTAGCTAATTATGCTGATATAAGACCAGCCACTGCTTCTTGCCTGTTCTGCTGTAGCTCACTCCTGATGTGGCTTATGTTACTTCTCATAATTCCTTCATTTGGCATAAATTATTTTGGGGGCATTGCTTGCCCAATCACTTATGTTTCCTTGCCCCCCTCCCAAACTCAACTCTCCCTAGACCAACTTTATTTCCTTTGCGTGTCGAGGTCCCCAGGGCCACACAGAATTTTTTTGTTTAAGATTTTTGGCATAATTTTGGCCACAACTTTATTGAAATACAAATTTGTGAGTGGTTGCTTAGGCATTGGTTGTGACTATCTGCCCCCACCATGGGGGACAGACTGACATTCCGCACGATGCGAAAGTCAGAATAGGGGAATACACTTGGGGGTTACGCGGAGCAGGGAACTTGCCCTCACCCCAAATGCAACCAGGAGCTCATTGCTATGGCCCGAGCCCCCTTGACAGAGTGGACAAGCAATAGTTAGCCCCCAATTCCTTTAACGGAATCCCTTGCAGCAGCAGCATTAGAGGGGCAGGCACTCAACCACTTCCCCTCAACCAACCAAACCATAAACCAATGCCTAACCGCAACCTTACAAGTTGTGACGATTTGCTACGCAGTAGGCAAAAACCAAATGGCCCCAGCCAATCAGCCAGATGGACAAAATTCCTACCAGGCCCCCGCTCCAAAGCAGACGACCCCATGACAGGCATAGCAAGGTCAAAGCGAACAACCCTAATTCTAGGGAGGGGGGACGGGCAATCCGATGCACGGTCAAAAAGAGGAAGCCCTAGCCTCGTGCAAGGAGTTTTAGCATTTCTGGCTGTCAATCAACAAATGGCAACATTAACTTCTTCCCAACAACAAGGAAAGCCCCAATCGCATCAGTGGCCAACGATCAATTAGCCCGCCCCCAACTTTGGAGTGTCCTGGCGGCCCCCACCGCAACACGTGCTCTCCGTGAAGGAGAACACACTTTCTCTGTCTTTGCACTCTCCTGCCACTGTCTCATGTTATCTTGCTCCCTTTCCTTGCTTAATCACCCAATGACATTTAGAATGTGGCTCCTCTGCCTTCATCAAGCTGCTGGTCAGGCATCTCCACCTTTTCTGCAGTTTTGCTCTGCCCCAGCAACCCAAGTCCTAAACAGGGATGGAAGGACCTGTTAATTTCAGTTTTCAATGTTTTTCGTTTTTGTCAGTCTTAAATCCAGCTCTTCACAACTCATAGCATTTTGAATTTTAAAAAATCTGCATGAGAATTTTAGTGTGAATGTCTTTTAATAAACACATTTTTTTAATACAGTTTGAACTGACACACATTTTTGCAAGGAATTTTCCCTAAATGCATTTTATATGTTACTTTCACTGATACAGTGGTACCTCGGGTTACAGACGCTTCAGGTTACAGACTCCGCTAACCCACAAATAGTACCTTGGGTTAAGAACTTTGCTTCAGGATGAGAACAGAAATCATGCGGCAGCAGCGCAGCAGCAGTGGAGGCCCCATTAGCTAAAGTGGTGCTTCAGGTTAAGAACAGTTTCAAGTCAAGAATGGACCTCCAGAACGAATTAAGTTCTTAACCTGAGGTACCACTGTATATTCATTTTAATGCACACATTCTCTCAATGCATGGATTTTTTTGTACATATAAGTTGGCTGGACAACTACATAGAATCATAAAATAATAGAGATGGAAGGGACCCTGAGACTCAACTAGTCCAACTCCCTGCCATGCAGGAATCTCAGCTGAAGTATCCATTATAGATAGCCATCCAACATCTGCTTAGAAACCTCCAAGGAAGGAGAGATCACCACCTTCAAAGGGAGTCTGTTCCACTGCTGAACAGCTCTTGCCAAGTTCTTCCTGATGTGCCTTGTGGATGAGTGCATAAGCCAGTCCTAATCAGATTATCATTCGTTGTGGCAAAAGTTTTGAAGAGAATATCTGAAGATGGCAGATCACTTCTGAAAGTACTCAATGCTCTTCAACAATTTTTTTAATGTTCAATTTCACAGAAGTTTCTTCTGCAGCTCTGTCATCTATATTATGAACTTACAAGGACTTTGAATTAAAAACAAAAACAAAAACCACATACACACACACCACCATCACAACAAAACAGATAATTTTGTATTTAATCACCAGTCTATTCATATTGCCCAAATTCTTATCCAATTATAATTTGGAACTAATCAGAACCCTCTATAATTAGATCGCTCCATTGTCAAATAAGAGGAAAACCCTTAGACAAAGCTCTGGTTTCCAAGGCAATTCAAGGTTTCAAGACCATTCAAGTGCACCCACTTAAAGAAGTTCAATTTACTTTTAATTTCCGTTTATGGGAAACTGAAATGGATATGGAGCACATCAGAAGGGAATGGAACTTCTTTAAAAGAATGAAAGGAAACTGGGGGGAAGGGGAGAACCCTAAGTATACTGACAATTGGACAAGCATTGGCTTAACAGACTTAAAAAGGGACAATGAAGTTGTAGCTCTCATCAAGATCTGAAGTTCAGAAGAAATAATGTAGGATTATCAGAGGCAGATTTAGGGGAGTTTGAATGGTTTGGCCACGCTAGGTGTGGAGCCTCGGCACACTGCAGGGGATGCTGGCATGTGTGACAGAGACCTGGTTGGATGAAGCAGATGGGCCTGTCCTTGCCGCTGCTTGTCCACCAGGTTTCTCTTACGCACAGCAACCCAGGCCTTGTGGGCGGGGAGGGGGAGTTGCAGTGATTTTTAGGAAGTCACTAGTTTGCATCACTGGGAAGACCCAGTTCTCTGAGTGCATGTTCTGGAAGTTGGGCAATAGGGGCAGTACAGGATTCCTTTTGGTGTACTGACCTCCCCACTGCACCAAGGATTCCCTGCCCGAGCTGCTTCAGGTCATGGCAGATGTGCTCCTGGAGACACCTAGCTTGGTTGTCCTAGGGGATTTTAACATCCACGCTGACACGACCTTACAAGGAGCCACTCGGGACTTCGTGGAAACATGGCCACCATGGGGCTGTCCCTGAATAAGTTTGGCCCAACTCATAGCTGCAGACATGCCTTAGACCTGGTGTTTACCTCTATGGATGTTGGTGAACGGACACTAAGTAAAAGCAAAACAAAAGAAGTGCCATGGTCAGATCACTTCCTGGTGCAACTAGACTTCTCCACGACCCTTCCCCTCCCCTCCCCTTCCCCGATTTGGATGGTCCGCCCCCGCCACATAATGGATCCAATTGGCTTCCAGAGTGGTAGGGGATGTTTTATCCCATGTTGATGGCCTTTCAGCTGATTCCCTGGTGGCCTGCTGGACTGAGGAGTTAACCACGGCTATTGACTGTCTGGCTCTGAAGCACCCTCTCTGATTGCATGGAGGTCGGACAGCCCTGTGGTTTCCCCCAGAGCTGAGGGTGATGAAATAATCGTTGAGACGGCTAGAGCGCCAGTGGCGGAAAATTCATTCTGAATCAGACTGGACACAAGCTAGAGCTCAACGTCGAACCTACCAAGTGGCAATGGCAATGGCGAAGAGGACCTTCTTCACCGCCTCTATTGTATCTGCAGAAAATAGTAGCAGGAGACTCTTTCAGGTGGTCTGCAATCTATCAGAACCACCTTCGTCACCAGGGCCTGGTATTTGCAAAGTTTTTTTGCAGATAAAGTCACTCAGATTCGGAAGGAGGTAGACTCCACCATGGGAGCAGGGCCAAGGTGGGAGAGTGCTAGAGTCCTGTCTAGTCATGTTAGGTAAAGGTAAAGGTACCCCTGCCCATACGGGCCAGTCGTGTCTGACTCTAGGGTTGTGCGCCGCCCATCTCACTTAAGAGGCCGGGGGCCAGCGCTGTCCGGAGACACTTCCGGGTCACGTGGCCAGCGTGACGAAGCTGCTCTGGCGAGCCAGCACCAGCGCAGCACATGGAAACGCCGTTTACCTTCCCGCTAGAAAGTGGTACCTATTTATCTACTTGCACTTTAGGGGTGCTTTCGAACTGCTAGGTGGGCAGGAGCTGGGACCGAACGACAGGAGCTCACCCCGCTGCGGGGATTCGAACCGCCGACCATGTGATCAGCAAGCCCTAGGCACTGAGGTTTTACCCATAGCGCCACCCACGTCCCCTAGTCATATTACATGGGCTCAATTCCAATCTGTTACCTCCGAGGATGTGGACAGGCTGCTTAGACAAGTGAAACCGACCACCTGTCTCCTTGATTCTTGCCCATCCTGGCTAATAAAAGCGAGCTGGGAAGGGCTAGGTGATGGGCTCTGCGGGGTAGTGAATGCTTCCCTCTGCGAGGGAACCTTCCCAGACCCTCTGAAAGAGGCGGTCATTAAACCGCTTCTTAAAAAAACATCCTTAGACGGACAATATGACCAACTATTGCCCAGTCTCCAATCTACCATTCTTGGGCAAGGTGATTGAGAGGGGGGGTGGTTGCTGAACAACTCCAAGCACGCCTGGAGGATGTGGACCATTTGGATCCCTTCCAATTGGGATTCAGGCCTCACCATGGGACTGAAACTGCCTTGGTCACGCTGGTCGGTGATCTCTGTCGGGCTAGGGACAACGGTGAGAGCTGTTTCCTAGTTCTGCTGGATTTCTCAGTGGCCTTTGACACCATTGACCATAACATCCTTCTGGACCATCTAGAAGGCCTGGGAGCTGGGGGCACTGTTATACAGTGGTTCCGCTCCTTTCTCCTGAGCCGTGTACAGAAAGTGGTGGTGGGGGATGAGTGTTCAGACCCCTGGGCTCTCACTTGTGGGGTGCCTCAGGGTTCTGTCCTCTCCCCCATGCTTTTCAACATCTACATGCAGCCACTGGGAGAGATCATCAGAGGGTTTGGGCTGGGTGTTCATCAGTATGCAGATCACCCAGCTCTACCTCTCTTTTAAATCAGAACCAGTGAAGGCGGTGAAGGTCCTGTGTGAGTGTCTGGAGGTGGTTGGAGGATGGATGGCGGCTAACAGATTGAGGTTGAATCCTGACAAGACAGAAGTACTGTTTTTGGGGGACGGGGTGGGTGGGTGTGGGGGACTCCCTGGTCCTGAATGGGGTAACTGTGCCCCTGAAGGACCAGGTGAGCAGCCTGGGAATCGTTTTGGACTCACAGCTGTCCATGGAGGCACAGGTTAATTTTGTGTCCAGGGCGGCTGTCTACCAGTTCCACCTGGTATGCAGGCTGA